AGGTGTCTGGAAGAGTTACAGTGACAGTAGTTTTTAAAAAGCCCAGGGTGGCAGGGGAAACCACAAGGTCTGTAGCAAACATCCCCCCTGGCAATCCCAGCAATGTTTTAATTTCCTTTCTGCTTTGGATAAGGCTGGTATTTAATTCCTGGGGGTTTAAAGCCATCCTGGGGACTCAGATCTGGCACTTCATCACCCATGAGGTACCAGAGGAACTGCAGCAGCAGGGAGGGAACGGAATGAACTCAGCATCCAGCAGGACAAACCCCAAACAGCAGCACAACACCACAAACCACCCAATGTTCAAGAAAGCCAACGCTCCCACAGCTTTACTTCCATTTACACTGATTAAAGACCCAAACCCAAACCAACAGAGTCAGCAGTGCTGAGAAGAGAAGTGACATTTCCAGCTGATGAGATCTGCTTGGCTGAGCCGCAACAAAAGGAAATGCCCACAAGCCTTACACAGCACCAGAGGGATGCTGCCCACCACCAGCCACCCCAAAACACCCCCTTGTCCTTCCCCATCCCTCCTTCCCCCCTGCCAGCCCCCATCCTCCCCCCTCCCAGAGCAAACCATCGCCTCCAGCCAACAAATGGAAGCTCTGGTTTATAAACCAGGGCAGAGCATTGAAAACCCAGAGGCAGCGACTACAAAGAGTAAATAAAATCCTCGGGCTGCCTGAAAGAGGCTTTGTGCTCCGAGGATGGATTCAGAAGGGCCCTTTCTGTGCCCCCAGAGGAATGTTTACATCCCACCAGCCAGGGCCCTGCTGCCGACTGAAAACGCAGGGCAGACAACAAGCACGGATCTCTGCGTGGACATGCTGCAAAAAAGGGTCTGAAAAATAACACAGAATTGAATAAATAAATTTGGATTTCCCTTTTCCTGAAACTCACAACTGCAGAATAGCTGTGGAGGAGCACAGGGAGCATCAAGAGTCTAAACCCAAGGGTTGATTTGTCTGCTAAGACAGACAAAAGATATCCGAGATCCCAAACTGCCTGAATTGCACCCGAACTCTTTGCATCTCAGTCTTTGTTCATTAAATCCCAGGGTGAATCTGACACTCTCTATCAAACCTGGTGGATCTAAGCCTCTTCTCCCACGCAGCAAAGCAAAAAAAAAATCCTCATGCTCCCAGCTGGTAAACACAATGTCAGACAAAAACAGACCAGCCAAACTAGAACTCAAGCAGCATTTCAAGTGAAAAAGCCAGATAGAAAAATCCCTGCCTGAGCACCTCTGACACCAGCACCACCTGGAGCCAGCATCTTCCAGTATACCAGAGCTTGAAAAAAGCACCTGTATGAATCAAAGAACGAGGAAGAGAGAGAGAAAAGGAGAAAAGATGGAGGGAGGGAGGGAGAAAGGAAGGAAAACGAGAGAAAAGAAAGAGAGAAAAGGAAGAAAGGAAGGAAGGAAGAGAGAGAAAGACCGACCCACTTGCAAAGGGCCCCAAGGGCTCCTTCAGCCCGGGGGGTGCCTGCTGTGGATTTACCACACCTCAGAACTCAGTGCCCACAGTCTGGACCCATTGCCTGGGACTCTCTGGCTTCACCTGGATGAGGACAGCAGGTGCCACCCACCTGTGCCTGTCCAGCCTGGCAGCCTCACCCTGCCGAGCTCAGGACATCCCCACACAGCGGGGAGAGACGCTGTGAGGCAAAGGCTCCGTGTGGGCAAAGGCTCCGTGTGGGCAAAGGCTCCGTGTGGGCAAAGGCCGCATTCCCTGCGCGCTCGAACCATCTCCACCTGCCAAACTCCCAACCCATCCGCCAGAACCAGTCTGTCCGTCCCTCGGCAGGGTGTCACGGCCACGGTGTGACACTCCCGGTGGGACAGCCGCGGAACAACCCCCGCACTGCCGGAGCGGCCCCTGCTCACCCAGAAGGTGGTGGAGTAGGTGATGAGGCTCAGCTTGAGGCACAGGTACGAGAGC